CAAATCATTGACTTGATAAGAAAGTACCACAGCAAATGCAAAGAAACAAAAAGCAAACAGTAAGTCAGTCACAGTATTCATAGAGGAAACTTTCTTATGTTTCTTTCAAAAAATGTGATGTAGTGTTAGTGCTTCAGAAGAGCAGTTTATGGAGAACAGGTCCAGGATGAGCAGTAGAGACTAAGCAATCCACTGAACATGACAGTCATATCCCCACTGTTATTATTACTATATTTACTTTTTAACAGCTTTATTGAGATAAAAATATACCATACACTTTGCCAACTTAAAGTATGTAATTCGATGGCTTTAGTACATTCATATAATGTGCATCCATCTCCACAGTCAATTTTTAAACATTTTCATCACCCAAGGAGAAGCTCTGCTAACCTCAGCCATCATTCCCCAATCCTGCCATTCTTCTAGCTTTAGGCAGCCAATCTACTTTTTGTCTCTATAGATTCGGCCTGTGCTGGACATTTCATATAATGGGACCATATAACATGGGGTCCTTTGTGACTGGCTTCTTTCATTTAGCATAGTGTTTTCAAGGTGTCCATGTCATAGCATGTACCAGTACTTCATTCCTTTCTGTGGCTGAATAATATTCCATTGTTTGGCTATACGACATTTATCCATTCATCAATCGATGGACATTTGGGTTGTTTCTGCTTTTTGGTTATTATAAATAATGATGCTGTGAAAATTTGTGTAAAAGTTTTTGTGTAGATATATGTTTTCATTTCTCTTGGATATACAGCTAGGAGTGGAATTGCTGGGTCATATGATATGGCTTTTAGCATTTGAGGAACTGTCAGACAATTTTTTGACAGTTGCTGCACCATTTTACATTCTCACCAGCAGTGCATGAGGTTTCTCCACATACTTGCCAACACTTTAAAGTTATTTTTTGGTTATAGCCATCCCTAGTGGGTATGAAGTAGTACTTTGTCATGGTTTTGATTTGCATATCCCTGATGGCTAATGATATTGAGCATCTTTTCATGTATTCATTGGCCATTTGTATATCTTCTTTGGAGAAATGTCTATTCAAGTCCTTTGCGCATTTCAAAATTAAGTCATTTGAGGGACTTCCCTGGTGGTGCAGTGGGCAAGACTCCCCGCTCCCAATGCAGGGGGCCTGGGTTCAATTCCTGGTCAGGGAACTAGATCCCACATGCATGCTGCAACTAAGAGTTCGCATGCCACAACTAAGGAGCCCGCGTGCTGCAACTAAGGAGCTGGTGAGCCACAACTAAGGAGCCCACGAGCTGCAAATAAGACCCAGTGCAACCAAATGAAAAGAAAAAAAATTGTCTGATACAGCCACTAGGGAGAACAGTATGGAGGTTCCTTAAAAAACTAAAAATAGAACTACCATACGACCCAGCAATCCCACTACTGGGCATATACCCTGAGAAAACCATAATTCAAAAAGAGTCATGTACCACAATGTTCACTGCGGCACTATTTACAATAGCCAGGACATGGAAGCAACCTAGGTATCCATCAACAGATGAATGGATAAAGAAGGTGTGGCACATATATACAGTGGAATATTACTCAGCCATAAAAAGAAACGAATTTGAGTTATTTGTAGTGAGGTGGATGGACCTAGAGTCTGTCATACAGAGTGAAGTAAGTCAGAAAGAGAAAGACAGATACCGTATGCTAACACATATATATGGAATCTAAAAAAAAAAAAAATGGTCATGAAGAACCTAGGGGCAAGACGGGAATAAAGACACAGATCTACTAGAGCATGGACTTGAGGACATGGGGCGGGGGAAGAGTAAGCCGTGACAAAGTGAGAGAGTGGCACGGACATATGTACACTACCAAACATAAAATAGACAGCTAGTGGGAAGCAGCCGCATAGCACAGGGAGATCAGCTCAGTGCTCTGTGACCACCTAGAGGGATGAGATAGGGAGGGTGAGAGGGAGGGAGACGCAAGAGGGAGGAGATGTGGGGACATATGTATATGTATAACTGATTCACTTGGCTATACAGCAGAAACTAACACACCATTGTAAAGCAATTATACTACGATAAAGATGTTAAAAAAATTGTCATTTGTCTTTTTATTATTGAGTTATAAGAGTTCTTTGTATATTCTAGATACCAGTCCCTTATCAGGCATATGATTTGCAAAACTTTTCTCATTCTGTAGTTGTCTTTTCACTTTCTTGATAGTGTCTTTTGAAGCAAAAAAGTTTTAATTTTTGATGATATCCAGTGTGTTTTTTCTTTAGTTGCTTGTGTTTTTGTTGTCATATCTAAGAAACCATTGTCTAATTCAAGGACATGAAGATTTACTCCTGTGTTTTCTTCTAAGAGTTTTATAATTTTAGCTCATACATTTAGGTCTTTGATCTATTTTGAGTTAATTTTTATGTATGGTGTGAGGTAGGGGTCCAGTTTTTATTTCTTTGTATGTGAATATTCAGTTGTCCCAGCACCATTTGTTAAAAAGATTACTTTTTTATCCTTTCTCCATTCAATTGTCCTGATCCCCTTCTTGAAACTCAGTTGATCATAAATTTGAGTGTTTATTTCTGGTCTCTCAGTTCTACCATTGATCTGTATGACTGTCATTATGCCAGTACCTTATTATTATTTCTATTGTCGAAAATAAGACAGAATTGTTACAACCTAAAGCAAAACTATCAGACATAATCTGCCTCAACTCTTTGTATTTTTATCAGCATACATAATTCACACTAGTTTCATTCCTTAAATTATATAATTACTATGGTAGCTTCTAGAAATATTTATAAACTTTAAAGAAAAATGAACCTAGGGAAAAAAAAGTACATTTTAACAGAAAATTAAACCAGCAATCCTTTGTAGTCCTATGGTTGACTCATAAGCATCCCAGACAGACTGACAAATACTGGAGCTATCTGAGCAGGAATTTATTCACGTTTATTTTACTTCATAGTTTGCTTGGAATGCAGCATTGGCATTTGCTATTATAATACTGGATACATGATAGGGGACTTCATTTACCAGTATATTTGTTGTGTTTTGTTGGGTGTTGTTGCCTGCTCTGATACAGTGTACTTTTTTTCTTCAGTGATATATTAGTGATGTTCCTGTTATCTGTTGCTAGGTAACAAACTGCCCCCAAACTTTGTCTTTAAACAACAGTAGTCATTTATTTTGCTCCGGAACCTGCAACTTTCTCAGGGCTTGGCAGGGAGGATTTGCTGCTACTCTGCTGTCTGGGGCCTCAGCTGGGGTGACTCAAATTGCTGAGGGATGGAACAGCTGGGGGCTAGTGGGACATCTTCCTATCCTAGTGTAGTCCCAGGCTTCTCCAGCTGTGTGCTTTTTCTGTAGTCTGCATCACGGCAGCCTCAGGAGAGTCAGATTTCTTTCCTAGCGACCCAGGGCTCCTAGAGCATGTGGCGAGAGGCGGAGGTGGAAGCTGCCAGGCTCTTTCTATCTTGCCTTGAAAGTCATGCAGCAGCTGTGCTGCATTCTGCTGGTCACACTGGAGTCTTAGGGCAGGAACAACCCAAGGTCTGCAGACAAGAGCCGTGGTTTGCTGGGATGTCGTCTCTGGAAACTACTAAAGTATGTAGCTAGAATGTATGTTTCACTGGGGAGTTCCCGTATGTAGTCATAACATGAAGAATGTCTTCCCCAAAAAACTACCTTAAAATGACTTTGAGTTTATGATGCCAAATGCTTCATTCCCCCCAAGTATTTCTTTAGTAAAACTAGAGTGTTTCATGTGGTAGAAAATAGAGTCATCAGGTTCAAATTCATTGAACACAGAAGGTTACATTTGTATCAGTTAAGGGTCCTGTCTTCAGTAAAGTTATAGCTGTCATGAAATTATATACCAAATAGCACCAATGCAAGGAAAGAGGCAAAAAGTGCTGGAAGGACAAGCAGAAATGGGAAAAAAAATCTGTTAGGTTTAGGAAACTTTAATATATCTCTTTTGATCCTCCTCAGCTCAGATAAACAAAAATAAATAGGAATGTCCAGGATCTGATTTCATAAAGTTGTTCTGGTAGCATAGATGAAATTTTATATTCTGCCATTAGGTTACCGTTAATCAAAGCAGAACAAATCAGTGATAAAATTAATCTTCCATTCTCGATAGTTATTAGCAAACTAAAAATAGAAGAACACTTCCTTAAACTTGTAGAGGATCTCTGCTGGAGATTCACTTAACTGTGAATTACTGGAAGCATTTCCACTGAAGTCAGGAGAACGAGGATGCTGCTGCCCTTCTTGTCTCCACCCTGGCCGGCTCATTTAGGTTAGAAATTTTAGTCACTTTGAATCATGCTTTATTGTTAGACCTAGCTAAAGAAAAATCTTACCGACACATACATAAATATTCTGGATCACTGACGTGTCCTCAAGGGTATTCGGGAATGTGATGGAGACAGTGTTATCTGCAGTGGTGTCCATGGGAGTCCGTGTAGTGACTTGGTCTGGTCCCCATGCTGGTTCTGTGGGGCCTCAAGCATGAAGAAACGTGATACTTGCTGACCCACAGCAGGATGTACAATTTAGAAAAATTTCTTTTTGGAATCAGTTTTTGTATTCTCTCTTGACCTCGTGATCTCAGTTTGGTATTCTGGTTTAGAGTCATTAGGATTTCACTCCCAGGGTTGAAAGTGGATTTTAGTGTCCTTGGTCCCAGATAAATAATCAGCCCCTACCTTCTGTTTGGACCCTGACGGCCCATAGCTGTTTAATCCAGTATTCTGGAGCCTGGTGTCCACTTGCTGTGCTGTGGTCAGGCTGCAGACGTATTTAGACCCAGTGCTCTGTTCCACTACTGAGGCATTTGCTAATCACAGCGGACGTCACTCACCGTTTTAGTAACGGCTGTGGTTGTCAGTTACCCTATCTGGGCTGTCAGCTCTGTGGATAACCATTCTGTGTGTTCATTAAGTCTGCTAGGAGAAGGACAGCAACACATCCTCTATCTTGGACAGACTTTTGACGCTTTGTTTCATCTTTATGTTGCAGATGTAGCTGCCGTAGCAAGTGGTCGTGAATTCCTGGTTAACTCAAGTCGGGTGCTCTTGGACACCATACTGCAGCTTCTGGGAGACTTGAAGCCGGGACAGTGCACCAAACTCAGAGTGTACCGTGGATGATATTTAAAAGTTCATGTTTACTTACATAGGAGTTAGAATTTGCTGACTGGGTCCCCTTTTCAAGCAAATGCACTTAATTTGGCTATAGTTCTAAAATATAGAAGAAACAAATTTCCCAGAGAATTAAGGGATATATTCTCTATTCAGTACTATTTTAGGAAAATAATATAAACAAAGGAATGTTCCCACCTTAGGGCAATCACTGAGTCCCAAATGCTATCATGGGTGAACTTCAGGGTGAACTTAGAATAGGTATGGTTTTGACAGCACCCCACTTCCAAGAGCCAGAATCCGGACTTATTTTCCACTGGTGCTTAACAAATTACCACAAACTTATTGGCTGAAACAACACCTACTTCAAGGTCTGTAGGTCAGAGGTCTGAGTGGGCTTGGTTGGGTTACCTACAGGGTCTCAAGTGGCCCAAATCAAGGGTTGTCCAGGCAGGGCTCCTTTCCAGAGGCTCTGCACAAGAATCTCTTCCACGTACATCCAGGTTGCTGGAAGAATCCAATTCCCTGTGTTGATAGGACTCTGGTCCCTGTTTCCTTGCTGGCTGTCAGGCGGGGCCACGTTTAGCTTCCAGGGCTGACTGAATTCCTTATCACGTAACCTCACCCCATCTTCAAGTCACAACAGCTTGCTGAACCTTTCTTACACTTCAGAACCTCTTGGATTTCCTCCTCTTTTGCCCGCCAGAGAAAACTCACTGTCTTTTTTTGGGTTTTTTTTTGCGGTACGCGGGCCTCTCACTGTTGTGGCCTCTCCCGTTGCGGAGCCCAGGCTCCGGACGCGCAGGCTCAGCGGCCATGGCTCACGGGCCCAGCCGCTCTGCGGCATGTGGGATCCTCCCGGACCGGGGCACGAACCCGCGTCCCCTGCATCGGCAGGCGGACTCTCAACCACTGCGCCACCAGGGAAGCCCAGCTCAGTTTGTGATGGGGTCACGGGTTTATATTTGGCATAACTGGATAAACTCCCTTTTGATTAACTCAGAGTCAGCTGATTGGTAACCTTAATTGTATCTGCAGAGCCTCACTGCCTTGACCAGGCAACTTAATGTGACCAGGGTGTTATATGTCGGTCTCGGGGATTAGGGCAGGAAACGTTGACCCATTTTAGGATTCTGCTACCACACCATTTATTTCAAGTGTTTGCTTTTACTTCTTGAGCACTTCATTAAATAGCTTCTCTAAGTCTTTTAAGATACTTCTCACATCTGTGTCATCTTGGCCTTGGAATCGCTTGGTTGTCTTGTCCCACGTGAGTTGGGATTTTTCCTGTTTCTTTGTAGGCTGAGTAATTTTTGGATTGTATTGTGGACATTTGAATATTATGTTTTGAGACCCTGGGTCTTGCTTAAATCTTATGGGAGGTGTTGATGTTTTGTTTCAGCAGTGGTCAGCCTGGTTGGGTTCAGGTCACAAGTTCTGACCTGCCTTCTCTGTTTGTGGCTTCCATGTCAGTTCCATTTTTTTTTTTTTTTTGGCCATGTTGCACAGCTTTTGGGATCTCAGTTCCCTGACCAGGGATTGAACCCTGGCCACGGCAGTGAACGTGCTGAATCCTAACCACTAGGCCACCAGGGAACTCCTTTCAGTTCCATTTTTAAGAAGCTTTTGCAGTGCTGTTGCTGTGAGGCTGATCCCTCACCATCATCTCCTGATGCTCTGCCCCTCATGTATGTCCCTGTTTGGGACCTGGATGATAGTTGATATTTTAGTTTTCAGAGTCTTAGATATGCTGTTTATGATCGGATCCACACATGCATAACTTGGGGTGAGGCCAGGAGTCTGTAGATGACCTTGTGGGGTCACATTCCTGAGCCTTTTTTTTTTTTTTTTTTTTTTTTGCGGTACGCAGGCCTCTCACTGTTGTGGCCTCTCCCGTTGCGAGCACAGGCTCCGGACGCGCAGGCTCAGCGGCCATGGCTCACGGGCCCAGCCGCTCCGCGGCATGTGGGATCTTCCCGGACTGGGGCACGAACCCACGTCCCCTGCATCAGCAGGCGGACTCTCAACCACTGCGCCACCAGGGAAGCCCAATGCTGAGGTTTTATATGCCCTGAGGTCACATGTTTCTGCAGCTAGGCCCAGTCCAGGGCAAGAAGCAGGAGTTCAGAGGATCACATTTCCTTTCCACAGAGTTTGAGTTACCCGAGGACTCCCACTGCCAGCACGGTCACTGATGCGAGATCCCGCTGCTACTCCTCGAGCCTGAGCAGAGGGCTTCTCCTGGTGCTCTCCCTGTGTGGTTCGTGCCACCCTGGGTTTGGGGGCTGAGTGGTAAACTCTTGGTTTGGTGGTTCTTAAAATTCTGGTCTTCTTCCCAATCCACCTGCAGAGACATTTACTTGCTTACTTGACAGTCTTCCATCTGACCCCCAAGCACAGCCATGAGCGGGCTGTCAGCCTCAGACCCCTCTTGGGATCCCTGTGCAAAGCGGCCTGAGGCAGGTCTTGCCGCTCCGTTCTCTGTGGCCGCCTTCTGATATGCACACTGTATACCCACTTTCTCCATCGCTGCTAACGTCCAGCCTGAGTCCTCCAGAACTAGGACTCTTCCTGTACTGCAAGCAAACCTCCTGTTCCGTTTGGCCTCTCCACACCTTGACTGTAGTTTGCCTTTTTCTTGGGGGTTTTGCTTTCCTTGCCACCTTCATGGTCAAAGGCTGCCCATTTTCAGCAGCTTGGGTGCCTCAGACCCAGAGATGGGGATTTTTACAAATAATTATTTAGAGCAGTTGTAGCTTCACAACAAAACTGAGAGGAAAATGCAAAGATTTCCCATATACCCCTGTCCCCCCCGCCCCCCATGCGTAGCCTTCCCTGTTATCACCATCACTCACCAGAATGGTGCATTTTCTACCGAGGGTGAACCTACTTTGGCATGTCAGTCACCCAAAGACCATAGTTTACCTAAGAGTTTACTCTGGGTGTTGTCCATTCAATGGATTTGGACAGATACATTATGACACACATTCATTATTACAACAGCATACAGAGGGCCCTGGGTTTATCATCACGTGGGTTTCCAGCCTCTGAGGTGGAGAGCCCATCGTGGTCCTTAGACACATGCTCTCTTGCTCAGCTCCCTCCTCCCATCACTCCCCGAACCTCGCTGAGACTCCTGCTGCTTACTGCTTCTCTTTCCTCCACGGCCTCCCCTCCGTCCAGCTAACCTGGACCCTCATCATCATCTCCTGATGCTCGGACCTTGGACCAGCCATCCACCTTCTCCCTTCCTACCTGTGGTGATGCTTGAGGAGAAGGTTTCAAATGCACGGTCATGCCGTTTCACCCTCACCTGGTCCTGAGTCCCCCTGGAACCCTCCTCTGCATCCTTATCGGTGCCACTTCCATCTCCACCGTGGCCGGGTCAGGCTCAGACTCTCTCTGTGACGCCGACCCCTGCGCTGCTCTTCGGCCCTCTGTGGGGCAGGGGCACTTATCCCAGCAGGTGGCTCTCCTTCCTGCTCCCCAGGGAGAGCTGAGGGCTGTGGGCCTGAGCTTTCTCGCCTGTCTGCCTCACTTGTTTATACCCTCTCACCCTCACTTTCTTCTCTCATGTGGCCTTTTGGGGTTTCCACCTCTGGCTTTGATTAGCTGTGCTTTTTATTAGTTGCCTTCTGGGACTTTGCTCAATTAGCTGTCGTCTCTTGCTTAGGCATTTCCAAGTTCTCCCTTCCACTGGCTCCTTTTCAGCTGACTTTCTCCCAGCTGTGCTGTGATCACCTTCAGCGGCGCCCTAGGGTCCATATCAGAGTATTTCCAGCTCTGCTAGGATTTGGGTGGCTTTGGATTTTCCACGACATGACACATTTTCCCAGAATGAAGGGCTGGCTTATGTTGCCCTGTTCCTTTTGCTTCCCTTGAAGTCCCCATGGGCCCTTGGGGTTAGTGGCCCTTTATAACAGACTTGATTCTACCGAGGGGCCCCAGGGCCACCTCTTTGGTGACAAGTGGGACATTGTTGTGACTTGGCCTCTGTGAGTTCTTTCAGGGTTACGTCTTCTCAGGCCATTTAATTTCTCGATAGCTCCAGTTTACCTGCCTTTTTTTTTGGAAGACCCTTTTTAAACTCTCCAAATCTAGAAACTTCCAACATCTGGTGGTGAGACACCAGCTGGCCCTGAGGGCCTCTCAAGGTGCTTTTTGCTGCCAGCAGGAGGGCTGGGTTGCTGCTTGCTGTGGTGGTGTATCTTTTAAGCCTTGGCTTCCATATCTTTAAGGGGATGACCTTCTTGCTACACCAACCAGGTCTGTGTTCTCTGTTGATAATTTTTAACATTCATATCAGCCTCTCAGGTGTCTGCTCCATATGGCCACTTGATAGGACTGTGGGCAACCCCAGGCCAGCCCTAGACCAGGCTCCGTCTGCCAAGGCTAGGGAAGTCAGTGCTGCCTGGCAGGGCCTCTTGTCCACCTCTTCTCTGTGCATTTCTTCTTACTTAGCCAGCACTCGGGGTGTGAAGTGTCCGGAGATTCCCCATCCTCACCAGCATCGGTCCTTTTCCTTCCACCTCCAACCACGGGGCATCAGCCTGGCGCACAGAGCGTCTGGTACCGGCAGTTTCTGTGCGTGTCTGGGGTTGTACCCTGACCTTGGGATTCTGAGGGCCACCGGGTGTTGTGCTGGCCTTGAGCCTGGTACGATGGACCCTCAGAAACTCCTGGTTTTGGCTTGTTTCCCCACTGCTGTCGTGTGACACTGGTGTTGCCATTCTCCTTGACACTCAGTAAGAGCTGGACAAACACAATTTTTGTTTCTCATCGGAGATCTGGATTTCAGGAGTTAGGATTACTTCCAGCCTTTTAAGTTCTCCCTGGTTTCTTTTGCACTTAACTTTCTCATTAACTTTGTCTCATTGCCCATCCTTCATTATGATTTTACCAGTCCTTATTGACACAGGCCTGGGACAGGTAACCCACTTCTGCATACTTACTCCAGGGAAAGTTCTACCCATAAACCCCAGGACACGTGTGCAGA